TCCTCGATTGGAACTGGTCGAGATCTTGGTCCACCGTCAGACTTCCCGCTCAAATTCCTCACACAGTTACTTCGGTATAATAGGCAAATAATAATATGAGGAAAATGGTGACGACTTGATTTCGACAACTCTCGTCCGGTCTTGGTTCGACTTCGCGAGCAGGGTTTCCCTTCTACATTCACGGAGCACCTCTTCTCATTATAAAATCTGCGATATCAATCATCGAGCCACTTCCTATCAGCTTAACTTCCCGCTCAGCGTGGAGGTGGATTAGCCACGCCCCAGGTCGCTTCGGGGTGTTTGATTATGGATAGCCTATTAAGAAGAGGAATTCCCCTTTACATTGCTTAACTAGCTTGACAAGGGGAGATGATTCCAAGACCCGAAGCAAAGAGGGGACTCTTTGACTCATGGACTTGATCTGCAAATTCAAGATTTCGTTACACATCGCATCAATTTGCCCAACTATTCCCTTGCCTTGCAATGATCGCACTTGGAAATAGTGAATCTAGGGAAATCAAACTTTTGTTGCCCTTCGGGTCAATTTCCGCATTCACTACTTGTCTGTTGAGATCGGCTTCCACCTCTCACCATCTATAGTGCGTATATAAACAGCCTCGCACTCTGCAACTTACAACGGCAATTCAAACCCCCGGATTTCCTGTGGAGATGGAGTTAGTCTTTCTGCTTCTCTGTGCCTTCTTCACAGCCAATGAGGCTAGAGCAATACATCGTGCATGAAGTCGACGGTTTGCTCAACAGCAAACTTTAAGTTAGGAGAGTCGAAGTAATGAAAAAGTGCGGACTTAATAATAAATGTCATCCGGTCTTGTGTCAAATATATCAGGTTTGTTGTCAACTCGGTTTCTCTCGTCTAGAGAGGGCTTGCAATGACTTCTGAACTCCCAGAACCCCAAGAGGAAAGTCGACATAAAATGAATGGCGGGTTGTAGTCAGGGCTGTAGAGCTATGCTTACCATTCACATCCCTCGTGGCAAGCTTGTATCCATTTTATGTATCCTGTGCCCGGTCTGTGTTAGTGACTTCTCTCAAAGCCTGTATTTATATTGCTCAGGGCTGCGTGCCCAACGATTATTTTGCAGTTAGACTGTATTTCAGAATGTCAATCTCAACATCAGGACCATTTTCACATCTTTGAGATGGTGGCGAGCGTTGAGATTGTTGTCTCACTAGCATGGGTTCGTGTCAGAACTACGGTTTCAATGGAGGTCCATAGGCCTAAAAGCGGTTGTGAAAAAAAGGCCCATCAAGGCTTGGCACCGGCAAGGGAAGCGAAGAAGTATATATCTATACTGGATCTGACTGCGCAACGCCACAGACAACACAATCTTCTCAAAGCATTCCAAGAATACTCGGTGGTCTCACCTGCCACATCTACCCCACCGGCCTCCCAGTAGCTAGACTGAAGGAAATCGAGGAACTCATTCTCACGAATCACAGATTCTACAGCATAATTGATAGGGAGAAGAAAGAGGCCTGTCTGCAAGTTCGAGGTAACAGCAAATATCATCCAGTCTCTTGTGAAGATTGCTGTCAAGCAGCTTAACCTTCCTTTCTTCCAACAGAGGAACACAGAGAAAGGAGAAGTGTCCGAAGGGGAAAAGGATCCCGAAACGATCTCAATATCGAAAAGTTGGCAGCCCATAGATTTATTTCTGTTAGACCTTCGTAATTATGTCGAAGCATTCAGAGTGTAGCGAATGCATGGGGGCTTAGAAAACCTAGATGGTGGAGAACTAAATACTCCAGATCCCGTGGTCCACTCCTGAATCGGAAGTTTTCCCAGCGTTTAGGACTATGGAAACTGTTCATCAACGCAATCTTCTCAGGGCGGAAAATTGTATAACTGCAGGTCTGAATCACTCGATTTGCTTCGCAAACTATCTTTGCCCTCTCCGCTCAATTAAGATCCCGAAAAGCTACATATATAAAGGAACGAAAACGAGCATTGGTTTCATTCCTTAGACTCAACTAGGACACAAAAATTGCCCGCAACGGGGGGACGCTGCTAGCCTTGGAGCCCCCAACAAGCCGAGCAATTTGGAGAGTAGAGCAGAGGACCGCGCAGTACAAGGAGCGGCGGCAGAGGCAACGAGCGGTAAGAGGTGTTGATGTAAAGAATGAGGGTTGACAATAGATATCATCTAGTTTTGGATCGAGGTTTGCTGTCTAGGAGCTTGACTTCACTTGGTAAGAAAGCAGGAGAAACATGGAAGGAGAACGTGAAGTTGAGGGGAGGAAAGGACAAAGGAAACCGGAAAATGTGCTTTCATGAACTCAGCATTGGACGCTCATTCCTCAAAGCAAGTTCCTCCCCTCCCTGAGAGCGTGTTTGTGGATTAAACTTCTGATAGGGAAACGCAAAGCCTCGCAGTCAGGTGCGTTAATATAATCCCCAAGCTTACCCACGTAGCATCTCGGCGATTCATTGAGATGGGAAACTGCCGGGGTCTGCAGCTTGCTGGTTCGAAGCCAGCGGCTGCAAATGTCCATTCTTGAGTTTGGATCCTGGGTGAGCTTAGGTCTTCAAGATTGTGAATATAATCTCACTCCACAGGTGCTCAAGGCTCAAGGCCGATGAACAGAGGGGGCGAAGGAGGAACGACCGATGCCGTGACCCTACGGACGCAGTGCTAAGCGATGCAGTGTTGCCTGCTACAGCAGCCTGACTTTCGCCGATAACCCGACGAACGCTCAACGCAGCCGAACATCGAATATCAGGAGATGATAAGAACCAAAGGCTCAAGTAACCTCATTGGTGAAGTGGCCATAGCCATGAGGAGTCAATATCTTGCATCTGCGTCTGGTGACAGCTGATGACCCGACGGGGATATCGGTTTCGCCTCGCCTTGCGATGGTCAGGTCGGTGAACCGAAGAAGAAAGACATTCCTAGAAATGAGAAATGAGAAGGAGTGAAGATGGATGCTTCAGCCTAGTCAAGATTTGATGAAGCATATTGACATCAGGTACCACAGTATCAGCTGAAGCTGTGAATGCTGGGCCTCGAGAAAGAGGACAGAAACGTGGAGATCTGGTAGCTGGACAGGGAGCCCTGCAACGTTGCCTCTCCCCCCGTGACTAGTGTAGTTTGCTCACAAGAGATCGAGCAAAGACTAAACATTGTTTAGGCAAGGCGATCAAGTAACGTTCCCTCCTTCTCCAATCTTGGCAAGCCCTTCACTTCGCCCGAGTGGCGACGAAAACAGGAAGACCGAACAGCTCGTTTCAAACTCAAACCGCATCGTCATTCTACGTCATGGGCCTGATGATCCCTCGCTATCTTTCGGAGAGGATCCGATATCAGATCGCTCTCGAACATGGTCACGAGCCAAGTAAGTCGGGATTTTTCAGCACTGTACAGTACTCGGTCGGAGAAAAGGGGCGGGCAAGTGAACTCTCCCTGCTGAGGGGCAGCGACCCAAGGGGACGGGCCGGACAATTCGAGCTTGTATACTTGTATTTGGCCACAGTAAGGCCGAATGGGGAAGCGATGCCACTTTTGATCGGTGCACAGCCTGGACTAGCTGGCTTCAGCGGTGGATCTTGGGCTCGAGCTTCAGATCTTGGACTGATATGGAATAGGGGTTGTCGCAAGCAGTGTGTTACCATGGGACGTCCCTGGCCCCGGCACTTTCAAGAAAGTGTTGGGGTAGTGAAGAGGCGATCTGGGTATACCTCGTGCCCGTGCTCGCCGCCGTTGCTGATCAGGAGGTCGGTGACTCCTGACATTCCCCACTTGGTGCAGCTCCTGGGCATCTCGCCAGCTCGCCGCCCCCGTCTTGGAGGGATAGGGGTTCCACTTCCCCATTCGGCCTACTTTAGAGGAGGAGCTAGGGGCCAAGCCTTGCCCGACCCATTTAGTGCAACCCAGATAGACCAGGTCCGGTTGAGGCTAGCCACTTGGCCAAAGACCCCCACCAGCTCTTGCTTGGGTCGCCCTCAGCCTTGTGCAACGGTGGTCGTTGCCAGCCCGTGGTCCACCCTCCTCTGACAGGACCAGCGCATCTCGCACTGACGGAGCGCCCGATCGTCATCACGCATGGTTGATCTTTGACTGCTGCACTGCACTGCACTGTGCAGGAGCTTGCTTCACTCGAGGCCAATCTTCAAGGCCAGGCTTCACTCGAGGCCTTCCGTCGATTTCCGGGCTTCGATATTGAGGAGAGATGAAGCCCAAGACGCATGTGATTGTGCCCAACTTGAACACGTTCATCCCTCTCTTGGGGACAGAAAGTGTTCACCTGACATCTAGCCGTCCGTGATAGCCGGATAAGCACAGTACTGGCCGTGGCGGGCAGGGGGGGTGATCTCCCAGCTCCTAGCTCAGGATGCATATCGCCCTCTCCTATCTGTTGCAGACAAGAAATCTCTCAGCGCTGAGAAATTCACCGCCAGATTGTCTCCGAGGCCAATGGAAGAGGATCACGTATTGGTGATACCGAGCCAGGCTTGAGATTGAGAGGTGAGAAGGTGTCGTCCCGGGCAAAGGGATAACCCCGGCGAGGGGAGAGACATGGCTGCATTGATGGGATTCAGGGTCCGGATGGCTTCTCCGTACCAAGGAAAGTGGAGGTGGATTCGCTGGAGAAGTTACGCCGCAGATAGCCGCTTGATAGACCGCGGCAGACAGAGGCACTGAGGCAGAGACAATGGACACAATCGAATGGAAATGATGCAAACGAAATGAGTGCGCGGAAGGGCCCTCTCGTTGAAGTTGTTGCTGAGGGAGATCATCTGTACGTCGCCTGCGTGCGTGAGCCAGTTCCGCACCTTGAGACACCCGTCCTTGCTGCAAACTCCCAATCCCAACAACAATGCGAGAGCGAGGGTTTCCCGGGACGACGGCGCCGAGGTCGGAGAGGTCGCACCTGCTAGATCGGGATTGGCGTGTTTAGAGTTATTGCTGTGTTATTGCTGTGGTGAAAGGTATACAGCGGATAGCGAGCAGTTCGCAGCTTTGCGGGCAGGCGTTCGTCCTCCGTCTGAGAAGTGAGTGAGTGAGTGAGTGGTGAGTGAGTGCTGGCGCTAGAGTGCTGGAGCTAGAGAGAGGCTAGAGAGAGGCGTGAGAGCGGCGAGGGGAATGGCCCAGCCAATGCGCGGTGCGTCTGCGGCAGGCTGGCCGCGCCAGAGTGCTTGCGGTAAGGCGGCGATGATCTCGACGGGAATGGCTCGAGCGTACAGCGGCAGCGAAAAGCCATCACCCTGTCAGGAGGAACCCCTGCGCAGAGCTTGTACCAACGTACCTTGTCCTGGCCTGCCCTCTCCTGCCCTCTCCTGCCCTCTCGCCTGTCCTTTCGCACCGTCATCAACAATCAATTGACATGACAATCCCGATATGCGAGGCAGACGCCCTCCTGCACCAAACCAACACCGACTCTACGACGCCCAATCAATGAATGGCTCTGGGCTGTCGAAAATCCCTCCTGCGCCCCAGCTTTGCGTGCTGATGGCAGATGCTTGTCTGCATCGTCTCCCCAACGCGAAGCGCATAGTTCAGTAGTACGATCGTTTGTTTCGTTGCCCCTGCCTGCTGCTCACCGACCATGGCCGTGAGTGACCACGACCCGAAGGCCCCGTATTTGTCATTTTCGATGTCTTGCATCTATCTGCCTCGCCTTTCGCGCGGCTATTGCGAGTGTGAAAAGTGGTCCCTGCTGGCAACCATCCAACATCAATGCAATAGTGCCAACCTGTTTCCTGGCACCCGCGATGCTCTGCATCCGCCGTGGCGTGGCGTTCTGGGCAACCGTCACCCCCTGCACCCCCCTCAGCGACCGTTTTGTTGGAACACTCTCGCAGCACATCCAGTCATCCCTCCACCAACTTTACCTACCAACCTGCACCTAGGACATCAGATTTCACTTCCGCATCCAACCAACACAGGCCTGCCCCCCCCCCATCTATGGACCTCCCATGTGCAACCTTGGCGTTGCTTCGTTGAGCCATTCGGAAGACGCTGCATCAAAACATCGCTAGCTGCATTGCAGAAGGGACCTTCTGGAAGCCGCGTATTGGAGGGAGACAGCCGGGTGTGTAACCCGGGGTGCCTTTCTCTGCCGCGACTGCCCCGCTGAGTCGATATATCACATGGCACAAGATCGTCAAGTTCAGGACAGCATCAAAGCCGCGAACCTTGCCGCTGCTGTGCAACGTGTGCCAGGCTTGGTTGTCGGTACCGTCAAAAAAACCCCCCAAAACAAAAATCTGAAAATCCGAAATGTGAGTAAACAACGAGGCAACATGGAGACTTTCTCGAGTGAGGTTCTGGAGTGAGTGTTGGGTGCTCGTCGCAATTCTTGGACGGTACTCAGCGTGTAAACTCGGCCCGAACCGCGGCTCCTGTCCCGAGTCGGTCGGCTTCTCTCAGAACATGACATCGTTCAGGCGCCTTCGCCGCTTTTCCTTTTCAGGACCCCTGGATCGAAGTCCAGGTGGGGGATCGGGAGTTCGTGGTAATGGTGGCGGGGCAGGCTAGCCCTCTGACTGGCAACGCTGAATGTTGAAAAACCTGAGAGTGAGATCGATTCCTGAGGTTTGGGAAAAGGTTGGGAGGGGTTTGCTGTTGGGGGTGGGAGGGGGGAGGGGGGGGGAAGGGGGCGGGAATAACAAAGCAGCGCAAGTGCGTGCTTACGCCACCGCTCACGTGTCCGGTGCGTGCAAAGGAACAGGGGGAGAGAGAAAGAATGGAAAGGGGGCTTGAGATGTTTCGGCTTGATGCAGGTGGCGGCATGCGTGCGTGACCTCTGGCTGTTCCAAGGGAGGCCGCCCTGCGCGCCAAGCGAAGAGGGAAGGGGATGCAGGTAGGCGTTGATGATGTTTGAGCGAGCCTGCGAGCCTGCGAGCAAGCAAAGCAAGTTCTCTGCGTAGGTCGTTGGGAGTCTAATTCCAATCCCAAATCTGAAATCGTCGAAGACCAAGAGATGTGGTGGATGCCTTGGCATGCCCTGCGATGTTGCGGCGCCTTCGCAATTACGGCTGATTACGGTGTGGTTTACTCCGTTCAGAGGTTGGCCAGGTGCGGGGCAGGAGAAAATCCACGCGCCGGGTTCAACCCAGCTGAAAGAACAAGCGCAGGGCTGGAAAGAATCCCTGTGCCCATCACAGCACAGCCCGTAAATTGGTTCCGCAGATTGGAAAAATTTGCTCCTGCTCGAAATCCCGAGTTGGGATTGCGGTCGCATGGCCATGGGGCATGAAATTGGGATCCCCATCCTCTCATCTCACTTCGTGCAGCACATACACATATACACATATTACACACTCGTATTGTAAATAATACATGCCATGGACTGCAAAACTGCAAAACTTTATCCCAGCAGCGGAAAGGCGTGATGCTAGATCGGAACTGGATAATGCAGTTTAAGCCGTCCGAGATAGGGTTGAGAAGGGCTGTGGCCGGAAACCCGGTCGGTGGTGGAGGTGCTAGAAGAGAAGGGGGATGGTAAGACATCCAAACCTCCACCTTGGAGGGATGAGGGGTACGGGGGTCTCGGGCCATCGACGCCTCCAAGCCCTCCAAGCCTTCCAAAAAAAACGACCTCCAGAACTCGATCTCATCATCTCAGGCCATTATGACGACGGCGCGCTTTCGGGGGATGCCAAGTGAGATCATTTTGCATGCCTTCATGCTCCCAAACTGACTGGCTGCGATAATGGGATGGATCCAGGACGACTTGAGGAGGAGGGAGGCAAGGCCAAGAAAAGAGAGGATGGAGTTTGACCACGGGGGGCCTGGCGTCGGGGGGATTGGAGGGAGGAGGTGAGATCGAGCTAAGCTCGCTCTGGAGAAGGGCACGATAATAACGCGCTCGTGTGAGTGGTTGCGAGGAAGGAGGCTGAGACATATTCGCGGAGTTTAAGCCCGCGGCTCTCCTCTCCACGCCAGGGGAGAACTGGCTCCGCTGTAGCTTCGTGAGTGGACTTGGCGAAAGGTTAGTGAGCGCTAATGCCGAAGCTAGTGAGCACTGCCAGAGTTTTAGTATGTGGGGAAGGGGAACTTAGTGAAGGACTGCCCACCGTTACTACTGATGGACTGTACTAGTACTAGTACTGTAGGTTTGGGACCGTTGCTAGCAGCATGTCGGGCGGGGATCCCTATTGGATTCTAGTGAACGTCAAACGTTAGTTAACCTCGAAGACCCAAGGCCAGGCCAAACGGCCTTCTCCAGTTCAGTTCTCCCCTCTGTGTGCTCCAAACCTGGTTCGCTCAGAGACAGAAGCATGCACGCAATGCAGGTAGGTCGATCAGAAAGAAACAACACAATTCATTGTTAGCTTTACTTGGAATGGTGGAGAGGCGCCGCGTGTACAGTGCACCCGCTGACTGTCCAGTCTCCACCGCTGCGGCGTCTCCTGACTGGCTGGCACATCCATCCTACCAATGCAGGTCGTCGTCGAGCTCCCTGAACTCAATCTTGTGGCGTTTTACACCCCAACTGCCAGCTCGTCAAGGAAGGGAGGGTGCAGTGGGTTATTGGTCAGCGGTCAGCATTGGAACAGAACGGGCCCCGGCTCCCGGGGTTCTCCTCCTAGCCTTACAGTTTGACCGCCGCGGGCTGGAGATGGCGTCTGTCTGTCTTAAGTTTTTGAACTGAACTCGTTGACTTCGATCGGGAATCGAATCGAGGTCACGAACAAACCTCGGTGGGGGGCACGCCACCGATGCTGGTGGGCGTGGGTGTGGGCATGAGGCTCCCCCAGCGAAAGCATCTCCGGCGCCCCCTTCCACCTCCGCCCGTGCCTGGAAAATACGACAGCTCACATTTGTCGAGATCATTCCTGCCCCTCTGATCCAGATGAAACTTAAGTTAGTCCCTCCAGTAGCGCCAATCCATAAACGTAGCGAGCGTAGGCTGCCCTGTGTACCTGTCTTGAAACCCACACCCCTCTCTGGAGAAGAGACGAGAAGCTGCCTTCCTAAGCTTCCTTTTCTCTAGTTTGGTTTGACTTGATTTTTGCGGGACCGCCGGACGTGACCAAAGTTTAGTTTGACCTGGCGCGGTCTCTTTTTCTGCAAAATGGAGCATGCAGGTATGAAGGCGACGGGTCGCTGCCTCCCTCAGCAGGAGGCCCAGCAGGACATCGATTGGCTGGCCTCGCAGCGCCTTGGGTTTAGTGTAGAACAGGTCTGAGATGCTGTGCTCAGCGCAGTCAATCAAACCTTAAAATTAGATAGATACTCGACCCTGCTTCCCTTGGTCTCGAGTCTTTAGTTTCCAACAACCTGCCAAGACAACGCAAGACCATTTGAGAGAGGAACCGTGGCTTCGAAGCCTTTGCACAACGTTCGCTGTTGATCAGTCACATAGCTCGGTGTCATCCGGTGAGAGGTAAGATTGCATCTCCAATCCCAGGGAAACGGATCGAGCTAGCTCGCTCGCTGCGTAGCCTCTGCCATCGTGAAGATCATGAGAGGGGAGAGAAGCCGAAGAGAAGCTGATGTGTACAAAGCCAAAATAGGTCGAGACGCTATTATCGATATCCACGTGCGAAGGTACTCGTTGAAGCCTTACTACTTCCATCCAAAGTCGACGGGCGTTAGTGGCAAGAGGGTTCAAGGCAGGACTCATATATCTTCAGGAGGCCCATCGAAGATTCGCAGACAGTCAGACGTCAGCATCAACGTCAGCGTCAGCACACCAAGTGCCGCCTTCCAAGTACCGCACCGCACCATACCATACCATACCATACGAAAGTCACCACTGCCGACCTCGCACCTCTGTACCTCCCCCTCTCACACAAGCAAAGAAAAGTTCGACATTCCAAAGAAAAGAGAGAGTCGACACGAGCTGGGGTGCCAAATCCATCCACCTTGCGTCCAGGGTCTCGATTCGTCAACAGGCACCAACATCCTGGAAAGCGGGGACTTGGTTCTCTGCTCTGAGTTGTCGAGACTGCCCATCCCCGACCCGGGAAGTTGGTTCGCCCGCGCAGAGACCTCCGCCACAGAGTCTCTCTTCGCCGGCCTGATTTAATTCGCAACTCGTGCGAGCAGAGCGAGGATATTTCGATCCAAGCCCCAAGCCCACAAGCCCGCAAGCCAGCAAGCCGTCACAGCCGCCCGCTGGCTGCATAACCGGCACCAACCTTCGAGCGAGAATTGAGCCGCCTGCTAGCACGATCGATCCCGTCTATCGTGGTGTCCAGCCAGCCAGCCAGCCAGCCTGCCCGCCTGCCTGGATCCCCATCCAGCAGCGTGTTGTTTCGAAAGCAGTGAAGCACCAGTCAGCGTTACCATCCCCAGCTCTCTCCACAGAACAGAAGAGACAGACGCATCTAGACCAATTCCAGGCCTCTTTCCCCTCCCCTCACCTGCACCTCCCATCAAATCAAGCCCGCCCAGACTCATCCCGCCACACAAACGTTGAGCGAAGTTCATCCGATGCCAATTCGGGTCAGCGGTCTGCAAATAGCAACAACAGACGAACGCGAGACGAGACGAACGGGCGGAGATTTCCCAGATTAGACTCAACCCGAGTGATTCCCAGATCCAGCCCCCAAGGAAGGACCTGGTGTGCGTGTGAAGTGGTCAAGTGAGATCTGCAACGCCCGGTGCCGGAAGACCAACCAGCGGGGGGCTGCACCAGCAGCTGGAGCAATTGCGCCGGTCAAGGAGGTTATTTACGAGGCCAGCCAGCAAGCCAGCAAGCCAGCAAGCAAGCAAGCAAAGAATAGAAATCGTCGGCGGCTGCGGGAGAAGTGCATCGCATCGCATCTGCATCGCCGCGCCGCACACCCCCACCCCACCACGCCTCGTTTCAATATCGGACGAGACGCGACAACACGGTTCGCGGACCTGATCCGGCTTGATCTGAGTTGAGTTGAGTTGAATCTGATCTGATCTGGTTGTCTGCGGGGTCCGCCGTGCCAGGCAGTGGATTGATTGATTGATTAATTGGTTGATTGATTGATTGATTGATTGACTGACTGACCGACCGAACCAACTTGACTAGACTCCACCCGTTCCTTTCCTGCCCTGACTGTCCTCCTGTCCAGGCAAAGCCTTACGTCGATTGTGTGTGCATCCAGGCCATCGCAGGGAAGCGAGAAGCGAGAAGAGAAGCGAGAAGAGCCTGCCGTCCCTCATCCGGGGCCCTTCGTCAAATCCAGCCAGGCCTCAGCCTACCGCCCACCACCCACTACCCACCACCCACTACCCACTACCCCCTAACTCCGTCCTCCGTGCTGTAGAGCTTCCGCTTCCTGGGCCAGCGTGAGCTTCCCCTGCTGCCACCTGCTGCTGCCACCTGCTGCCACAGTGCTTGCCTTTCCCCTGCTGCTCGCTGGACCCCCCCGAGCCACGCTTTCCCCGGCCCAGCCAATCCGCGCCTCCGCTCGCTGTGGCCTGTGCATCCCGGGCGCTGCTTTGGCGTTGCCTCTTGCTGCCTCACAATTAGTTCTCGCCCTCTCTGCCCCCATCGCAGCGTCGCCCCATCGCAGCACGCTCCATCGCTCCATCGCTCCATCGCTCCATCGCTCCACTCCCGCGCCGGACCCGCACCGACCAAGAATTACCCTATATCCTCCGCGGGCTCCTCGTCCACCACCACCCTCCTCCCACGCCCCCCTCCGCTCCCCTCCTTATTGCGGGGAGACCTCCTCCAGAGGTCCAACGAAGAGATCTCGCACATTTTGTGCTCGCCACAGAGCCAAGCACAGAGCCCTTTGTTCCCAACGTCGGTCGCCCCAACTCTCGCGCGGACCGCGAAGGGGCTGCCCGCCGCAACCCACTAATCCCTCGGCTGGCTCAAATCAGAGCCCGAGAAGCAGAGTCGAGACCCGAGACGAGACGAGACGAGACGAGACGAGAATAGGAGCTGGTGCTGCGGCTGCGACCGAGGGGAAGGCCCACCACGACTGCAAATGATCGATAGTAAGCGCTTCCTTCCTTCCTTGCTTCCTTGCTTCCTTACAAAATCTCGCCTGGCGCATATATATATATATATATATACATATCTCTGCAATTGTCTGCTCAGCTTTCAGCTTTCCCCAGTGGGAGCTGGGACTTGCTGGAGTATTTACAGCCAACGTCCCCCAACTACAACACATTTGTTCTTTTTTTTTTTTGCTGTTGCGCAAAGCTATCAAAATCGGTCCTTGTGCGTCGCACTGCTCTCTCCCATTGGCGACCTTCGACCCCCAACATACCGCAAAAGCCAGAAGAGTCCCCCCCCATTCATCCCCGATCGAGTGTATCCTCTTCATCAAGCGGGAGCTGGATCGCTGCCGGTGCTGGTGTCACCCCATCGGCATCCCCTGGCAACCGCAATTTGGCCTCTGGCAAGCCCCGGGGACCAGGATTCCAGGACATGTTTCTCTACACCGGGCGCCTTGGCTGGTCAATTGGAATTGCTGCTATTCGCAATCTGCCACACCGTCACAAGCTGCAAAGCCTCCCTGCCTGCCCTCCACACTCCACCCACAATGCTGGGCCAGCCTCTCGGATTTTTCTACATGAACTACGCGTTGGCTGTTGTCTGCTTTCCGTTGCTAACCAGCTGGCTGCCTAGTCCTTCCACCTCCGAGCCTAGCAGTCAATCACTTAATGTGCTCGCCATCTGGTAACATCCAAGATCCAGCTGCTTGCTCGGGCCATTCGCCTTCCTGTATTGTCGGATCGGACATCGAGCCTGACAGCTCTACCAGACAGGACTACCCAAACCACAATCACCATCACCACCACCACCACCACCACCAGCCTTCTCTCCCCTCTGACATGGGGCTTCGATACATGATTCCTGCGACAGATGATGTACGGTGAGTGCTGCCCCTTCATTGGTCGTCTATTCTCGCGCTTCACCACGCCCCCCCGCCCCCCCAGTCTGCCAGCTTCCCGGCATTTGGGCACATGCGCAGCTTCTGTGCTCAGTTTCCCTCTCGTTTCAACCAGCGGCTCAAAGCGTGCATCTTATCGCTGGGCTGGCTGCGTGCCGCCTAAGCTATCGGGATGTGATATGCGCTGCACCGCACCGCACCGCACCCGCACGGCATGCCACGCATTTATCCCTTCGCAGCGCTTGCTAGCCGTACCACAGCTTAAGCCTCATCCTGCCAGACCCGTTGACTGCCGCAACATCGCGGCGTCACGCGGCGAGTAGTCCCCGCTCCCTGTGCAACGGACGGTTGAGCTGGCTGTCCTACATCTGCCGGCCAACTGGGCCTCCATTACCCGGAGACCGTGGTGCCTTCGTTGAACCTTAAATGCTGTCCAACAGTCATGCGGCGGTGGCTGATTTGATGCATCAGATTCACTCCGGAATCCGGTACCCAACATAGCCCTGTATATTCGATTGAACCGACGGTACAGAACCCATCCGCGTCGACGACGTTAGCTTTCTCGCCCTACAGCAACATCTACCAACCCCAGCATAGCCTCAACGGCTCCACGTACTCTAGCGGCGGCAGCTCCTACTTTTCTCCGAGCTCCTCGATCTTCTCCAGCCTTTCTATGCCGGATACCAAGCCGCGATTAAGCTCCCTGTATGTGGATCTTTCTTCTCTTATGTACCCATGATGCACCGTCCTCGACTTTTGTGTTCAGAGGATAATGACATTTTCGCGCAGTATCGCGTCCCCTGGGCTAGCACCACTTTCTCGCTCCCCAGCCCTACCGCACCCCTCCTCCCCAATTAACACCCGAGATTTATACTCGGGTGCACAACCACACCTTCGGCGCACGACCGACCTTCTCTCCAGATCCCCATCAGGCTCTGGACTTGTAAGAGGCGTGCCAATATCGCCGACCTCGACGAGCGGCTTCACAAGCCCCATCTCAAATATGGACGGCTCCCTTAGCGGGACGCCCTGTCCCCCTCTCTTCCCCACGGAGGTCCACCACTCCTTACAAACCTCAGAAGGACAACTGATCAAACCCGAAATTTTTGGCAAAATCGACAAGGGGTTCTTCATGGCCGACAATGACTGGACCTGTTACCGGAGAAACTACTTCTCCCTGAACTGCTCCTACACCCTTCAACCCACAATCCCAAACGGAGCCATGTACCTTGTGGGACAACACGGCGGCGCCGGTGCCCAAGTGCACAGCTTCGCCATGTCAATAGCAGCCGTCGTCGACGGCCGCGACGGGAAATCCATCGAGCTCGTCCAACACACTCCCAAACGCGACAAAGGCCCCCAAGACCGACCCGCACGCATCACACTCGCGCCTCGTCCCCCGGCCTCTCACGGGCTCTTCGGAGGAGACGGCGGCCTCGGCGGCTCAAGAGGCAGCATATACGACGCGCAGGGGTTTAACCAGAACCCGAATTCCCCCCAGATCGAAGCGACATTCGAGCGCATCCAGTTCAAGAATGCGACAGCCAATAACGGCAAGCGGCGAGCTGCACAGCAGTACTACCACCTCCTCGTCGAACTCTTCGCGGACGTAGGACCGCAGCACACTGATCGGTGGGTGAAAATCGCCTCCCGCATGTCCGCACCGATGGTCGTGCGCGGACGTTCACCGGGGCATTACCAGGGTGAGCGCAGAGGAAGCAACACCAGTACCGGGCCTGGTGGATCAGGTGGAGCAGGTGGTGGAGGCGCGTACACACCTGGCTCTGCATCACGAACTCCAGGCGATGCCACGATGTCTGGCGCGTCGTCCATGCTGCCCGGCTCTGGCTACGGCGGCGGCTACGATGGGAGAAGTGGAAGTCATCATTACAGGAGCAACATTGCGCCACCGCAAATCCCGATGGAACCGACGTTGAGCGCGGAAGAAGCAAAGTCGATCGAGGAATCGCCGTGTTATTTATACTACCCAGGCGCGATCTATGAGGGCGGCGAGCAGAGGTATCAGTTGCCGAGCGTGAGCGAGTACACGACGAGCAAGATCAAGAGCGAGTTTGCGGCAGGCGGAGGTGGGAGTGGGTATGTGCTACCGAGCTTGAGTGGTGTTGATGGTGGACTGGGCAGGCATTGTGGGAGGTGGGAGGGGGTGAGCGAGAGTAAAGGGTACTTCCCAGCGTTGGTGGCGGAAGCGGGGATGAACATCACATAGGACAGCAAGACCTCGACCTCGACCTCGACACGAATCCGAGCGAGGACACTCTCGACACAACACTTCTCCTCTTTCGACTCTTTTTCTTTCCTTCTCTTTCTCTTTCCTTTTCTTTTCTTTTTCGGATATTCATTACAAGGGCTGGCAGCATCACCGCGGATGCTAGGGAATGGCAACGCAATACGGCGCACAGGGATCAGGGATGGGAAATCAAAAGATACCACTTTGGGGTCTGGTTTTGGAAATTGGCGGGGGGAAATCCAACAGGCATTGGGACGGGACTTACGGGATAACGGCACGGGCACGGGGCACAAGGCACGGGCATGCGCAGCAGAGAGCTCGGGGGGCAAAAGAAACCGTGCTCGGGTTTTTCGATTCGGCATTCATAATCATTCGCATGCAGAGAAAGAGAGAGAGAGAAAAAAAAGTTACAGGCCGCGCTGCTTTTTTTGGGGGGGGGTTTGGGCTTTGCTGGTCGACATGGAAGGGCGGGCTGGCAGGGCTGGCAGGGCTGGCAGGGCTGGCAGGGCAGGGCTGGGCTGGGCGAGAGAGTGGGCATGGGATGGATGGGACCTAGAGTGATGCTTATATCCGCGATGTTTTCGCCCCCCTCTATTTTTTTTCCCCGGGTCTTCGTTTTTTACCTACCTACTTCTTTTTAATCGAATGGTTCGTGTTGAATGTTGGGGTTTGTTGTTGTTGTTGGTGTTTACGATGTATGGCGTGGTTTGGCATCCTTTTGAGTGTTGGGAGGCGGGGTGGGGCGAGGGTGCGATTGTGTTGGGGGAGAAGAGGAAGGCTGGGAGAGGGGAGGAGAGGGGGTGTGCTTAATGATAGGAGTGGTGTAGTGAAAAATTTATGGAGGCCTTGTCGATATCGGCTACCCTGCTGTGCTGTGCTGTGCTCTCCTCCTAATCCTCGTTTGCTCTCACCACTGTTTGCCAGCCGGAAACCTCGCACGGCTAGCTGTCCAGAAACCCAATGCGGGAAAATGCATTGCTATGGAACAATAATGAGGATGATTGCGGGGTAGACAAGGGACAACGTCTCGGGTGTCAATTTCCTGGTTCTCCTAAATACGGATGAATGAATGAATGAATGAATGAATGCCTTTGTCACTGCCTACCTACCTACCTACCTACCTACCTACCAAGACCCCCAAACCAACCCAAAACCAAACCAAGTCTCTCGTACGTAACGCTCCTTCGTCTTCTTGAATTCCAGAGTGGATGGGTGAGTGAGTGAGTGAGAGAGAGAGTGAGAGAGTGAGTGTGTGTGTGTGTGGATTTCCCCTTCACCATTCCTTGGAGATCAGAAACACCGAAAACTAAAATTAAAAATTAAAAACTCCAGCCGGGCCGTTTATTTATTTCTCCTTGTTTCTATCTTTCCACTGCGCTGGTTTGTGCCTTGTTCTGTTCTCGATTATTGTTGATTATAATTATGATTATGATTATGATGATGTGTGCGAGTTTGCGGGTTCAGAGATGGGCTTCGGATTTGTGTTTGGGTCTGTAGTTTGGTTGTGTGCATTGGGATAGAGGTGGTTGCATTCTACTTGAGGCATGAGGTTGGGTTTCAAGGAGGTTTCTCGAAACTGGTTTCTTGGGTTGTGTTGGGAGAGGTTTGGTTTCTGCTGCTTGAGGCAAGAGGTTGGGTTCAAGGACGCTTTCGAAGCTGCTTCTTGGGTTGTGTTGGGAGAGGGTTGGTTTCTGCTGCTTGAGGCAAGAGGTTGGGTTCAAGGACGCTTTCGAGGCTGGTTCCTGGTTGTATTCCGAGAGGTTTGGTTTCTGCTGCTTGTGGCAGAGGGTTGGTTAGCCTTTTCTTCTTCTTCTTCTTCTTCTCTCTGGTGTAGGAGGGGAGGGGATGGAAGGATCTGGAGCGAGCGTCTGGCTGGCGAGCTTTCTTGATGCTGATAGAAGGAGTTGGAGAGAGGTAAGGTGGAATGGCGTGGGCTGGACGTCAAAGGTTTCGAGGGTTGGGAGCGAGTGAACGATCTAGGGTTTTGTTGGCTCGATTCGGTTCGACGGAAAGATTAGGAGGTCTGTCTTGTGGGGTGTACGTTCCTTCAACTATCTGGGTTTGGATCTGTGGTTCTTGGTACTGTAGTTGTGGCTTGGATGAAGTGAGGTAGAGAAGTGTGTCGATGAGGACGCTTTCGAGATTCGAGTGATTGAACAGTTGATATTTTGCCGGCTCGTCAAGGGCAAGCCTTTGATTCAGATAGGAGCTCCTTTGAGATTGCAGATGCAATAATTTCATTGCCAAAGTTTGGTTTTCAAGTCGAAAAGACATTTTTGAGGATTCGAGGCTGCGGAGGGACACTTCACAATAAAATAGGGAAAATCGGATGAATGCAATTTGTCATTGAGAAAGGAACTGGAGATGTAATGTAAATAATCAGTGAACCGGTCAAGGTAATGCCTGCTGATTGGATGACAAATGTGTAGCGTTGCGTGATTCGTGTTGACTTTGGTGTTGGTGTTACACAAAGCTTATTCAGGACTCGCTGCTCTAATAAAGGGGCGAACGAAACAGATCTTAGCGGCAGAGCCTCTTCAAAATCATCATTACGGTCTCACGAACTCTTCTGAGATCAAAGGTAAGGGAGCAATCAAAAGTTACTAATGGGGCTGTTAGAGAGCAGGAGCGATTGCGAGAGAAGTCAATCCGACAGGAGTTAAGGTCGCTGAATTCCTGAGCCTCGCATTGCAACTTCGCCACTCTCACCTTCTCTTGCTTGACACTCTGAGCACGATTCAAACCGGGGCAGTCAATGACTTTCAATGCCATGGCTTTACCTGCGATTCTGTGCTAGAGACTCAAACAAAGTTTCCGGCGAGACAAGGCTCTTGAGCGAACTGTGCTCGAGACTTCCTTCCTTGATCTGGTTTGTTTGTACCCTCTGTTCGAGGCAATTACTCATACCTTCCCCAAATTACTCTTATGGAGCGTCTACTAATTCCCTGATTGGCAATTCTAGTTCGTGGTCATGTCTCCAGTCGAATCCGACTCCTACGACAATGCTCCTCTACTTCCGAATCCTTCCGCAGACCTACCCTCGTCTCGAAACACCAAACGGCTACTCATGTAGTCTGAGTAGCATATCATACTTCATAATTGGGGATTGAGAAGTGACCTTGGAAGCGGTTGCGAGGTCTACTTCTCCCGGTCGGAAGACGGTAGGAACTTGATGGCGTAAAGCTTGACCAGGACTCGGTGAGCAGGGAACACCCGGGTACGGAGAAGGTTTATGGAATTGCGGACCGGGAGAAGCAGAAAGATACAGCTGTCAAATAGCTTGCGAGTCCAACGAGTCGTATATGCATGGCTTGCTGGGCATAAATGATGTTGGTTCGTCTGAGCCAAGAAGCGAAGACGTGGCTCCGCGTTTGCCTTAGTTGGTATACTCTGTCAACGTTCTAGGTATTTCGGCATGAAGGTGATGACACGCACAAAGAAATTTTCAAAAGAGATTGTCTTGTTGGGACAATAAAGACAAGGTGAAAGGTTGCACCCAGCTGTTCGAGTGAGCAGTGAGCGGACTTGGCGAGTCCCACTTATTTTCAGACGAAAAGGATTTATTGTTTCAGCTCTTTTCTGTCTTTAAGCGGTCGATATTACTACACACATTGTTTCCTTCTCTCATTATCTTGCTCATCATTGGGCTGAGGCGAGCGATGTAGTGCTTTGGCACTAGCATTCATACTCTTCGGTTTCGTTGTAGACTTACGAGATTCCCGAAGGAGGATCCTTCAAATTACAACATATTTTAACTCCACCTTATCTCTTCACTTGTTATTGAATCTTGATCTATCGGACAACAAAAGGAAGCTTGTCCACTTTCCTAATCCACTTTTCTTCCATCCTATTGGATGATGACAATTTATAACAAACCTTCAAATTCACGTCAACTAGTACACAGATCACATCTTCCTTTTTTCCTTTTCGACACTCTTAACTCTCAACCTCAGCATCGATTTACCACTAATCTGTTCACTCAAGCTCCTCTATCGTCAGGTGGCCTTCCTTTCATGCACCTCAGCACCTGCCAAGCGTCAGTCCGTGCGCATGTTACCCAATGAACATCCCCCCAAGATCCCCACTTCCGTCCACCCTTCTCCGGCTCTGCCGACCCAGTGCCGAGTCTCATGTTGATCATGGCCTGGGATTCGTCTCCTCAATGTCACTCTGGCAGCAAGGCTGACAGCGGAAGTCCGTGTGGCGAATGAGGTGGAAGGGTCGGGGAGGAAGGATGAGTCTCAGCCCAGCTTGCTTGGGCCGTCTGGCGAGCTGAGCTCGGAGGGTTTCGAAGACCAGGGAAGAGACAGGACGCCACAGCTGCCACTTCATCCATAGTCCCAAAGGCCGCGGCCCAGGACGCAAGGGAGAGCGCCGCTCACACGAACTTAATTAACTTCACGTTGACCCAAGAAGCTTCTTCGTGTAGGTCTTGCAACCGAGGAGAAACCTCGAAAGAAAACACCAGAAAGTCGATATTCGTTGACCCAGAGCGAGATGAACAACCATCCCGAACCCCCCTACATCGAGGCAACCAGCACGATCTGTGGGGGTTCCCAGTCTCCACCTTGACGGGAATAACCGGAATAACCACACCGCCACCCTTTCCCCCACCATCCGCCACACCCCCCGAAGTCCGCACCTACTTCACAGCACTCCTATCCACTCTCTACTCAGACCCCGCACCCGACGCCGAGAAAATAGCCGCAAAATGGTGGTTCGGCCCGGCTCAGAGCTGAGATATTATGATCTCTCTACCTTCCGCGAGATTTTTGGGTTTGAGGCAGGCCCGGTGCTGTTTGGGCATGCGAAGGGGGGGGTTAGGTCTTCCTAAAGTGTTGGGAATACATCGAGTGTGGAAAATAGCGTGATTGTAAACAGGGACGGGAAGGAGAGGCCACAGAAAGATATCTTGGAACGGCCGTATTTTGAAGCTTCTGTAAAAACTCATACGTTTAAAATACGTCAAAGGAGAACGCAATTGTCTTTGCACTTGATAAATGCAGCATCTAGTAAGTTACTTCCAATGCTTCCGATTATCAGCTGCCGTTTCATAAGTTTTAATGATTTCTATACAATTGAGTTGAATATTGTTTTTGCACAGCGATTTGTTGAAATCCTGAAGTGTTACAGTCGCCATGTGAGTAATCAATTGGAAGCTGGATCTCATGAAGTCGATCACTTGAAGTCAAGAACAGCAATAGTGCCATGTTTCTTATTTATGTTTACTTTCTTGGCAAAATTTTATTATTCTGGAGATTTATACAGCAAGCACATACCCGCCAAAGAAAATAACCAGCAATTGTTATTAGTCCTCCCAGCACCCCATATAACACGGGCAAGAAGAAGGCCATTTCCTATTCACAATAATTGAGTCGCAAATACCAAACTCGCATATGCTGCTACCGCCCCTCTTTTCTTTTTCAAGGTCAGCTTTGTGAGGGGTAGCTCTTGTTCCCTCACCCCAATCCACCATACAAAACCAGCAGAAGTTATGTCGGCACTTGAAGCCCATTTTGTTCCCAATTAGCAAATATCCCAAGGATCTCAACACTAACGAACTTATAAATCTTGTGTGGACAAATATCCCTCTTAATAATCGGTGCTCCGCAAACTCGATCCTGAGGGCCAGAAGGTCCGGAACACGCCTTCGTCACCCGAGCAATTCCCCCATCGATGCTACCTCTTGCGCACCCGGATTTGTTCGAAGCTCGTATTGAGCGCAAGTCAAGTCTCGACTTCATGCCAGGGCGCGTAATGAGCTGCGCATGCTTGGTAGCCACAATTGATGCAAGTGAAAATCAGACTGTTTGTTTCACCGCCGGACTTGCAGTGAGATTCAAGGCACCATCTCTCCAGTTTGGATTGCCATCGAGAACTTCTCCTGCGGTCAATCTGTCATATCTAAGTTGAAATTGGTTAGTGCAATCCGAGAGTGCATTTTTTTACATGAAACTTACTCTTCAACAGCCTCGATGGTGGCGAGTCTCCCAAAATATTCGTGCTAGAGAGTGTCGTCACAGCCTTGGGCCAGACAAGAAAGCTGATTAGTGTTAGCCGCACTCAGAGATCCCTTAACTCAATATTGGATACATTCTGCGCAAGCTTGGCGCTCGTGGTTGCAGTTTTGCGTGACTTCGACACAAATGCTGCACGCGTCTTTGGATCTCCACAAGCTCAGTTCCTTTCAATTCTTGCTGAGATGGCTCGCCGATAACTTGAGGTCACGGAGCTACCGAATTATTCTCAGATTCCAAAGAACGTGAAGTTGCATGAGGATTTGCGAATACAATTGGAGAAAGCGGTGCGGCTGCAGGTAGTGGTCGTGAATCTGGTCTTTGTTGAGCGGCTCTTGGTGCACGTCCTCGAACAGCATGAGTAAGGCAAGCTACTGGAGCCGATGCCCGATTTGCTGATATGAGTGCTGGGGGCGTGACATGACGCGGGGGGAGGTGGAGTGCAAACCACTGAAGTTGGTAAAAGCTTCTCGTGCTCGAGGTTGTCGCAGCTAACGAGTTCAACGAGTCGGTTTCTCGTCGTTCCCGAGCAATAAGGGCTTCGCATACACGACGAGGCTCCTGGGGGTGAGGTTCCAGAGCCCCAGTTGCTGGCTTGAGACGTTGATCAAGCTCTGGGAAATACACTACTCGGCCGTGAAGCTGCTTTCTCCAGCCTCTTGATGCTGAGTGTTCCCAATCATACTCCTCTTACGCACGCTGTTGGCGACGCTTGGTTTCCGCTTGCAGTCTATTTGTCTCCTCAGAGAGCCAACGGCAGTGCTCATCATATTCCTCGCGCCCCCGGTCTTCCTCCCGCCGTAGCCCCAATCCCCCGTTCCCCTGGAAGTTTATACCGTAGGGATTCATAGGTCCAATTGCCAGGCGTCCCATGCCCATCTCAAGTATTTGAGTAGGGCAAAAATGAGGTAAGCTGGATGTGTCATCTTCCATAGTATGTTCGGGAAGATTGGTTGTGGAAGAAGACCGTGGGAAGTGGAAGATCAACGTTCAAGAAGGCCGTTTTATATACCCACAGGATTCTTACGCCTTGGCGGAGAAATTTACAGCTGTCTAAATTTTGAAAAGTTTGAATTTAGTGGCACGAGGTGATTTGTTAGAAGCTCGAAGTATTTATAAATATTGAACGCACGCAAACCAAATTTCAATGACTTTGATATTAGTGAGCTATGCCAAACTCGGTATTAATTATAAAGCCCGTAATTCTTCCATACCGGAGACCATTGTAAAAGAGTTCTATAAGAACTTCAAGTTCTTGGCCCTAGTAAACAATTTGCTCCTATTTACTCTTCTGCGACGATTAGAAATTGGTAAAAGATACCAAAGCTTTCACACTTGATAACTGCTTGGACAGCATTCTGTTGAAATTTGAAGTAATGAGGATCTTTTACGAGAAGAACAATCCTGACGCTGGATAGCAGATGGTCAATCACTTACGAGTATGAAGATCAATAATTCAGTAGTTTCACGAGCTTTATTATTGTTTCTCTCAATGGAAAAATTATGTCGTCTCTCTGACAATAGGATGACTTCGAGCAATGGAAGTCCTTTAATCTAAAGAGAAATAAAGTTTGAGCTTCGGTATAATCTTAAAGACTTCGAAGTCAATATGGCACATTTTCCCTCGTTGAGATAGTTTTATATGCTTGAACCGGTACTTTAGCAAGTCCAATAAGAAAGTAACTTAAACACATAAAATACTACTTAGTTGAATTAGCTCAATTGACTATAAGTCCTTTTCTGGCGGAGAACATTGAAACTTGTAAATTGGCTGGCCGTCTAACGGTAGCGCGGAAGCAGTCCCGGTTGAGACTTCACCATTTAATGGCTTGAAACCACGCCAGTGAAAGTGTTTTCTTCAAGACGTGTTGCATGGCTGGAGGCTTTTTTTGTTTCGATCAAAATAGTGATAATGGAAACCTATAGCTACTAGTTGAAGGGAGGGGGAGGAAGTAGAGGCGACGGTGTTGGAGGAGAGGGAAACGTAAGCAAGCATTGTAATAGATTTATCTTGAGGCGACGAACATTTGATCCCAGATGCTGTGGGCAATGATCCTTTATAATTATCTCAAATTATTGCTATTTAGTAATTGAATTAGACATTTCCTGATCATCTTTTCTGACTCTAACATCTGCTTGCGTATTTTAGTGGTTGTCAAACCCATCTTGCCACTCGCTACATGATCTTGATATGCAATCTGATTCATCCGTTGCCCATCTACGTGATGATCGTCACTGAAATTCAAAATTCAAAGTCTTGGTTGTGTTTACGAGCCTTCGGGAGTCCCTTTGCTCTTTGCCGAGCGCGCAGCTAACTGGAGTGATGTTGGACTGGAGAAAAGGGGCTTAAGCGAGAAATTCACCACTACCATAAAGCCGGAAAGTAAACACGTCATAACCTGGATCATTGCTCATAATGTTGCAAGCACATCTCCTTTCCACCGCATTGAGTGACCATGCCTTAAAGTCCTTGCTAGGCGAGAGTTTTGAAGGACAAATAGCCTCGTCATCACGTGATGCGATAATAGGACGCTCCTTCTCAGAAATTGTCTTCTGGCAGAAGGGGAGAAAGAAATGACATTTCTTGGATGTTCCAATGACCGCGGTATATGTTGCATATCTTTCTGACAATGGGAAATGAATCAGTCTTAGAATAATTATGACGTCCAGGTTGAATGAAGCCTCCCACTTCTCACCTGTGTGACATTTCATGAACAAGCCGTTGTAGATTTCTTGAAGGCTCACAACTATTAAAATCATTCGGGGAATATTGTTGCACGTGAAGCAAGTACCTGTGACTCCGAGGATTTCATTATAGCTAGACCAAACTGCGTAAAGCATCTTATGCTTTTCATTGCGTCTCTAGCAACCCTACATCCCTTTAACAAGAACAATTAGCAGTCCAAACTGTCGATAAAAAGCCTGACCCAACTCAAGTAACACCGGAGAGACCTTTTACGCCATCGGGTTTCCCGTTGCACCATGAGCTGTCTAAGATATCCAGTCGTACTATTTCTTCAAGATAACAACAAGACTCCAAGTTGTCTGATTCACAATAGCAACGGGTATACAAAATTTGTTGATTTGGATTATTAGGCTATCTTAGCATTTAGGAAGTTTCCGTTCCTGCACGTTGGGTCTTAAAGGTAAGAGGGGTAAGACAAATTTATCGATTCAAATGGAAATTAGTCCTGATTTAGCAAGCTACATCTTGTACCTACCATACAATAAATAATTCGCTCCTGAATGACAGTAGTTTTACTATGGAGGATTATTTATCCGGAACATGACAGTCCCGAACAATGAGGGGACGACTTCAGCCTATTATATCCTAGCAGTACCTACTCCCTATATCGTATACAGCTAATGGCCCGGAATGAGCTAAATCCAATTACTACATTAGCCTAGATTCCCGAAACAAAAGTAGAAGTGGCCCCGGAATCACACTCTGCTTACGCCAAGAATCCGGTTTACGGCCGACCATCGTTCATAACCGACCCAATGAAACAGATATCCAAACCTGTGAAGACTTGTTTCTTTCTACGTCACTTTTCGCACATCTTACTCATACGGACCATAAGGCGCGAGGTACCTAGAATCCCCCGCTTTCGCTTTCGCTGCCTCATTTTCAACCCTGGGGGTAAGCCAGAGTCGTATTTTCGGCTCCCTGGTGGCCCAATAATACCTCATGAAGAAGGATGTGTCACTTTCTCGCAGGATCAGATCAAGTCCCTCACTCATAGCTTGAAGTATTGTAAGCAGAAAAGCGCGTCCCAGCTTATCATTAAGCCTGAATTTGAGCCAAGAAAGACTAAATATCTTAATTATTCGACTATTCAAAAGGACTTCAGGAACGGAGGGTGGCAGAGTTGCTCCCGATGAAGGGCGTTCAGGTACACCTTAGTGTCATATTGACGCCCTCGTAAAGTATAAAGAGTTCTGATGAACCTCTTCGTTACTTTGATCTACCATTCAATCCTAATCTGTTCAAGAATAGTTGATACTCCATCATCATCATGCTGATCCCTAAAGCGGCCTGGACGCTCGTTGTACCCATTCTCGCTAGTGCTGCGGCGGTCAATAAGCACACAAAACTGCAAGAGTGCCTGACAGCCGAAGGAATTCCTGGGCCCGCAAATTTGACCTTTACTATCACACCCTTCAACTTGCGTCTCCCCTTCACCCCCGTGGCAGTGGCCGTGCCAACTACACTGGCATAAGTGCAAGCTTCTGTCAAGTGTGGTGTCAAGGCTGGCTTGAAGATCAACCCAAAATCTGGAGGACACAGCTACGCAGCTCACAGCCTCGGAGGAGAAGATGGCCACTTCATGATTGATTTGAAGTACTGGAACAGTGTGGTTGTTGACAATACAACATATATTGCAACAGTTGGCCCAGCGGGTAGACTTGGAAATATTGCACAATCTCTTTATGCTCAAGGCAAACGTGCTTTCAGTCATGGAACATGCCCGGGGTAAGGCAATCGTATCCTCCCCATTTCTGCAGCATCTAATATTTTTAGTGTTGGTGTTGGAGGGCATGTCTTGCACGGTGGTTATGGTCACGCATCTCATTCTTGGGGTCTTGCACTTGATGCTCTGGTCGAAGCGCAAGTCGTTCTTGCCGACGGAAGTGTTGTAATTGCTTCCAATACCTCGAACTTTGATCTTTTCTGGGCTCTCCGTGGGGCTGGATCCTCATACGGCATCGTCACTCAATACAAGTTCGAAACAAAACCCGCAATTGACCAACTCATCAATTGGGATCTCAAATATGTCTGGACCAAAGCTCAAGCTCGTCAGGTGTTGGATGTTTTCCAAGCATATGCCAATAGCACTGACCTACCCAGAGAAATGAGCGCTCGGCTTTTTATCGCTGCCAGCGGCGTTAATTTCTGGGGAGTTTATCAGGGGACACAGGCTCAGTTTGATCCAATTTTCAACGCACTTCTTGCGAAAATCCCTGGAACACCTCAGACCTCGAACATATTTTCCTCTGACTGGATTGGTTCCATCAAACAATGGGCTTTCATGGACATAACAATGCCGCTCGACTATGACATTCATGAAGTAAGTCTAACATTTTCTCGTTTTTCTGTTCATGCACTGACATGTCCTCCAGAACTTCTATTCCAAGTCGATGATGACCAACTGGATTTCGGCTCCTGAACTTGACAAGTTCACTGACTACTGGTATAGCGTTGCTAACAGTAATACTCGCGACTGGTACTGCATCATCGATCTCCATGGGGGCCCAACCTCAGCAATCACAGCCGTGCCCCACGATAGCACCTCTTATGCTCACCGCAACGCTCTCTGGAAATTCGAGCTCTACGACCGTGTTGCTAACAATGTGGCATACCCTGCTGGTGGCCAAAATTTTCTGAATGGTTGGGTTGATACTGTCAAGACCACTTACCCCGGGACGCTGGGCATGTATATCAACTACGCCGATCCTGGATTGACTAAACATGAGGCACATACTGAGTATTGGCTGGACAATTACGAGAAGCTGTCCAAGATCAAGACAAAGTACGATCCATATCAGGTGTTCATGAACCCTCAATCTGTCAATTCTTAAACGGTTCGATGATGCACAGCTGAGAAGCAATTGAGAGTCTCAAAATGGTTTCTCTCATGTTGATGAATATGTCAGTGTTAGGAAGGCGGGTCGCATTTGGTAATTAGCTATCAAAAGTAACTTGAATAACAGTGTTCTTCACTTTCAATTATGTCAAGAATGCCTGTGATACGACGTTCATATTCTATTTTAACACAATGTATTAAAGGTCAAAACTAGAGTGCAAATTAATTTCCAAGAACCATCACCACGGCCTTGGTTAGAACCGGAATGCTACTTGGCCATGGGTAAGCTCTCTAGAGATTCAAATATCCTTAAAGTGTTGGCAGGGTCGAAAATTTGGTCGTCGGAACATCGCTGCTCGTTTCCAAGAATAGGCCCCGCCGAATCCGGAGTCGAAGCAGGTCGATAGGCTCACTATTTACCCGGCACGTGGTTACCCTCAAGGTATCTACTCGCGGCCCACAATAATCGTTGGAAGGGCTCCCGGAAGTCTGGAAACTGCGTTCCGAAGGCACTCTCATATCTCCCAATTCGGTAGTGCTTCTTCGTATTCATCGGCCGTTTCTTCAGTCCGACTCCTCAAATGGAGACTTGGTTTCTTCCCCTCTCGGGAATCTCGGATGATTCTTCTCTGCATAGTGCTTGCATGCTCGATTCCGGATTTGGTTCACCGACCTTCTCTCACTGATAAGTCATATGGAAAATATGCTCTCTATTCTTAAGGAATACCGACCGCACGGCTTCACTTTCGTCCCCACTTTTCACGCTCTTCCACACTTAGTTTCAATTTCCACAGTGAAGACAATCTGATAAGATACTTGTAAATATTGAGAGGTCAACATTTTGATCCCTTCTTCTTTTTGTCTGCGTTTGTTTATTCTTTCCCGCTCGGGAGGCCTAGAAACCCATGTACTTTGTAAGGAACCCCGCATTGCAGGGCGCACTCCGAGGAATAACCGGCTGGCTGATCCAGCTTTAGGTTATTTATCGTTCAGCTAATCTTAGTTGTGTAATAACTAAGATCAAGCCAGGGGGAGGTATCATGCCACCAGGAGCCACATATCGGGAATCGAACCCGACCTACTAGATCACTTGCACCCTTTATTTTAGTTTAACGGCTAGCCAAGTACAGGTCTCGACTCTATATAATTAGGGAGAAGTCATACTCTCCGTCTGCCATGTCTTATATTATCTCAATACCTAATTTTCCTATTCTGATTCTGTTTCCCACTCCATATCTCTGTCCGGTCCCAGACAGTTGATCCCGTCCGCCTCAGGTTCAGGATCTACCTCTCTTATACTCGGGGATCTCTACAGGAACCTTGGCCCGCGAATAATGCTCAGTTATTGCGGGGATTCTCCCTATCTCTCTTCAAACTCTATCGGGTTCATTTCCCGGTCTTGGTATCTCTCTGGTACGCAAGCTACCCGGTCTACTAGAACCTGGTTCTTGATTGCCTCTCTATAGTTATTTCTGGTCATATCTGGTTCCCGTAATCTATAGTTGGATACAAAGAAGTATAACAGGAAGTTTTTTCAAATATACCATATTATAGTTTGGCAAAGAACCTTCTACCTTCTATCTTTAGGATCTTTAGTCCGGAACATGCTAAAGGCCATAAAGATAATGAATTTATTGACCGTTTTCTGGGGAACAAGCCTTATTTCTTGTCCTGTATTCCCTAGACCTGTTAGGATCAAGTCAAGCTCTTCCCAGATAGCTTTCGCAATTATATACTCTAGCCATATATATCATATTATTAGATCTATCCTATAGATCGGGCATATTTGGAGTTCTTCTATTAGCTAGTCCAGGTCTTTTCCTGTTCTTATTCTATTATGCAACAAGTGCCATATCAAATCGCCTGCCTTAGGGACCCTGAACTCGGTACTTGCAGCTTTCCATAGTTATCCCGGGGACTTTACTATTCCGGTTAGCCTTTGCAACGCTACAAGTGGTCTTGTGGTTCTGCTACTAAAGTCAATGCTCGAAAGCTTTCGATCTATTAGTACCTCATATGCTCTTGTAAACCCCCAGGTTTGGGAGCTCTCCTTTCCGTCATCTGCTTTACGTCTAAAGATAAAGCTTAGTAACCGGCTGGCTGATAAGGGTCCTCGCATCAGGTATCTATAAAGGCCTATTCCCCAATACGAGCGGTTTACCAATGGGAAAGGGAGGGGGGGTCCCCATTGCCCAATCGCGCGCTACGATTAGTCAATAGGAGGGGAATACGAGTCGGGATACCGATTACCCAATCGGGAAATGTTTCGGTTTCGGTATTTATAAAAATTAAAGATATATTAATGCATTTCATACTCTCCCCCCCCTCCCTACTTCGCCCCCTACTTTCTTGCTCTCACACTACGCCTAGGGGCTACCCTGGCTCTTTTTGCTCCCTTTTTGACTTAGTAATTAGCCAACTGCGGACGTCCGGGGTCACATGACCGCACCACGTAACCAGAGAGACAAAATCTCTACTATACTGCGTCTAGGGTTGGGGATATGCTTAAGAGTACTTTTAATAAGGCTATACTATGGCATAAATGGTGATTCTTAAGTAAAGGGAGGCATATAGGGGTAAAGATATATTTAGGGCAGACTAGTAGATTTATTAGTTTCAGCCCCTTAAGGCCGAGACCCAAATATTATGCGATTATCAAATCGGGACCCACTGTGGGTCCCGAATCGTATCCAACCTCCTATTACTAAATGGGGACACCCGATTAGGCAATCGGTGGGCCGATTGCGCTATGGCTCGTCTTGGGGAATGGGCCTTTACAGATCGCGAATTCCTGACAGGTCTGCCCGTAGCCCGGAATCGCTCTTAGGATTCTTCACTGCACCTTACACTGTGTTATCTCGAGGAGGTACTAGCTTCTCGTCTGACAACATTTCTTCTATCAGAGCAAGCTGCAGAGCCACTATTATCGTGTTAGCAAGTTTCAAAGACTTCCGAGCATTGCTCTCTCAATATTTGAGTGATAAACAAACCTGAAGACGCTCAACATCTCCGGCTTGACTATCTCCACGCGGAGAAAATAACAAACTAGCCAAATCCTTTTTGGACTTCTGGATTTCCATCACTCGCTAGACGGTATGTCAGCCCCTTTTCTCAATTTTCCGTTTACTAGATGGCAGAACTCGCCTCTTCAAATGTATCCCTCACGAAGAAGCGAACTGTCGTAACCTCTTTCTTCTGGCCAATCCTGTGTATTCGTGCTAATGCCTGCTCCTCAATTGTTGGGTTCCTGGATTGGACGTCAGCAAGACGCTCCTAATCGGTCGTAAGGGGAAACTGATACCAATGAGGCTCCATGAGGTAGGCGTAAGAGGCTTCAGTCAGCGTCAAACTAGAGTCCATGAGCATTATGTCAACAATGTAAACAATTTCCCTCAAGACTCACCCAACAGCTCCACAGGACAGTGTGAGAATCATGACCCTGATTAACGGGTCTTTCCGAAACCTTTCGATGATAGCTTGCCTATTTTTCTGCGGGACTTTGCCATCAAAGCGCAGATATTGGATATTAGCTTGCTTGAGGCCGGCTTCGACGACTTCGAGAGTCATTCTCCATGACGAGAATACAAGACTAGGACGTCACAGAATAAGCGGGAGACATATCCATCGCAGTTTGGAACTCACCACTTCACATCGGCTTGTTGGGTCTGGAGCTGCGTCACTAGGGACGTAACCTTTGAGGGAAGGTTGATTAAAGAGGTCTGGTAATCTTCCATAAGGGGTATTGGAGGGGCTGCTTCCTCGGGCTCTGTACGACTCGTAGAAACTGGCGCAGTGGTATGGGACGTGGTGTGCCCGCACGAGATGGGTTTTGAGCCCCTGTGGAGGCGTTGTGTGCATTCGGAGCAGATGAATCTCAGGCATTCAGAGAACCGAGGCTGCGTCTGGGTCTCAGGCTCACTTAGTAGAGTTTCTGTCACATCGAGTGATGATGAACAGAACTGGCAAATTATGGATCCGACTTCAAGCTGAAAGTCGAAAGCTTGCTGCGCGACTTCCGCCCATTTGATTTGCCCTTCCGAACCAACTTCGGCAGCGGTATTGTCGTAACGCGAGTGGTATTGAAGTCCCATATTACAAATCATACGCAGCGAGTTGATTTGCTGGATAATATTAACACAGGTAGTGGAATTAGATCTGTCAGTGCCTTGGGGAGTAGTTTCTTTGAAATTTGCGATCGTTCGGCTCTTTATTTCGTCATAGAGTGCTCTTTCGTCGACGTTAAACTCCACGACGCATTTCAGGTCTCGCCTTGGGGGCAAGTTGATGGTTTCCTTTGGCCTCCGCAGCAGAAGGCATCCAGATAATCGCTGAAGTCTCCTGACGGCTTCCTCTACTTCCCCGACTCCGCCTGTCTTCCACAAAAGAGTTATATCGGCTTCAAACCTCCCTGTGTCACCGTATGGGTGCGCTTGAAGGAATTTCAAAAGAGCTACAAGATCTCCAAGGCGATTCTGAATTGGAGTTCCTGTCACTGCCCATCGGGAAGAAGCGGGAAGAGAACATATCGCCTTGGCCATTTGCGACCCGCTATTGCGAATGATGTGTGCTGTATCTGTTAGTGTAGATGCAAGATGCCGCTGTGAGATATGACGCTACCTTCATCAAGGATCACACGTTTCCAGTGGGTTGAAAAAAGGATGGACATCTCAGCCTGGTTTCCATTTCTCCATTCAGCTGACACGGTATGGTAAGTCGTCAATACCAAATTGTAGCTGTGTAATTCAGAGATTTTGGTCAAACGAGACTTGCCATGATGACGGCCCCATGTTAGACGAGATTTCACAACATGTCTGATTGAATTAGAGTGACGTCATTCAAAGTGGAGTAAGAATGGATGAAGGACACAATGTACAAGACTTACTGTGATAGTTGCTCTTCCCAGCTGTCGAGCACTTGATAGCAAGTTAAAATTTCCACAAAGTCAGGGAATGGGAAGGTGATTACCTGGTGGAGGCACTATGACAAGTGTGGTCATGTTTGATAAATCTTCACCAATACTGCTATGCATCACAAAGTCCCCATAGCGATACCCTTTTAAGTCTGTGGCAATCAGGGCTATCATGCTCAATGTTTTGCCAAGCCCCATGGGATCTGCGATGATGCCCCCAAAAAATTGTGGTGGCTCCTCAGTTTGATAAGCACCCGAGATCCTGTTGATGAAGCTTTCACGCACTGTTAGATTTAAGGCTTATTGGAAGATGAAGTGGGAACCCACCAATAGCCTTGGCTAGTTTTCTTCATTTCCCAGATATCCGGAGTTTGGCCATTAAAAGCCCATCCCTGCTCTCTCTGCAGCATAAAAGTCAGAGCTTGTTTTTGATGTCTTGGAAAGAATTAGCAAAGTTGACATCGTCATCAAGTTATCTTTACCGTTCAAGATCGGCTAGAATCGCGTCTGGCTGGGGAGCTTCTAGTAGATCTTCCTGAGAATCGAGAATGGCGAGAATATCTGGTTGTTGAGGGGCTTCTTCCAAGTTAAAGGCCCCAATCGGATCCCCTTGCAATCCCAATTTCGATGTCATTGGGCAAGACCCCAGGTCCATGGAGGAAAGTCGGTGGGGATTACAATACCTAACATCTAATTCGCAGCCTCGAGGGTCTTGCAAATATATGTCATGGTCCTGGAAAAAGCTGCCAACATCCTCACAGAGACAGGCCGACCCGTAGATAATAATCAAGAGCGAACACGGCCTCATGCAAGGCAGACGTCTCCTCAGATTTGGATGCACTACTTGTTCATCTCCAAACTTACACTTCACTTGAAGCGTGAGAGATGTCTCGTCGAGGAGTGCCTGCAATAGTTCAGTATGCTGCTGGTTTGAGATGGTGCCACTGAAGTCGGTATCGGAAGAGGAGCCGAATTTGGAGGACGTATCAAGTCTGACGGCGTGAGTGGAAGAGCCTAGCTGTTGATAACTCCCAGAAGGAAGTTGGCATTCTCCCGCAATGCCTAGAACCTGTCGTCTCATAAGTAAGCGGATGGGCCCTCTTGAGAGAATTTGTACGTTCTCACCATGCCAAAACAGATGAACTCGTCCCCGTCAGCTCTAGAAGGCGTTTGCACGAGCCCATTTGTCCCATTGTTTGTACATGATATATTCGAACCTAAACTGACTGTTTGATTTGCTTGGGTTGCCACCACCATCTGTGTCTGGAACGGGACTTCCGTACTGAGCGCATTCGATCGAATAGGCTCCAACGACTGTACACTTGGCATGGCTCCATAGGAATAAACCTTGGCAGAATAATTTGGCGCCGGTTCAAAATGCAAGGCAGCCACCCGTGAGTGATGATCGAGCTGTCTGCGGTTGGTCCAAGAAGTATTTAGATCTGGTTGAGCTTGGCCAAGGCGACCACCAATGTTCCAGTCCATGCACTGCGGCATAGAGTATTCGTGAGCTGTCGTGACTGTGTTCCAGCTTTCCCTAACCATCACCGGAAAAGATCCATAGCTTGGAGCTAAGAACGGGGAAGGGGACAGATTTTGGTCGTTCATGCTTTGCCATCTTGTATCGACACCGTGGTTTCCCTGAGCGAGCCGATTACTCTTGCTCCAGGAGCTGGTTTCGGGCTGGCTTAGGGCCGGCAATGGATTCAAATTGAATTGAGTTGCAAATCCTCCGCCACTGTCGTTGGCCCAGACCAATTCACCTGCGGACCGTGGAGCGGGTGTCGTAGACGGCTTCCAGGTTGCTGCCGAGCCGGTTGGGTCACTTTGTGTCGCCTCCAAGCGCCGACGTTTTGCACCTTCGGGGATGAAGTGATTCTCCATGGCTTGAGCGGCGTAGTCTTCGCTATGCCAGTTTCTCGCGTTAGTCAATGCGATACGAGCCTCACTGATGAGCTGTGAGCGGAGGCTGGAGAATGGCTTTCTTTTTCATCAGTGAGCCTCACGGTTCGCCTCGGCGTTTTCACGTGAAGATGCGACGTGCACAGCCCCTCTTGGTTGCTGAACAGCGCATTGTGGCGCTGGAGTGGACCTATTACCACCCGCCGAGATATTGTTTTGGTTGGGCTTCCGTGGCGTTGGGTAGCGCTTTAATGCAGTGTAACTGTGCAACGAGGTTTTTGAAGGGGCGGTGTATTCCAGGAAACTTCGGTGCGTAACGTGATCTAACGACATCTCATTTCTCCTGCCCTGCCCCCTCCTGTCATCTGTCTTTCTGCTTCTGAGACTTTATTCCCTTTCAATTGCACGTCGGGTAACGATGCCCCTCCCCAGGAGAGACCGAAAGGTCGAGGCAGCCAAACGGACGATCCGCGAAGCTTTCGAAGATTTGGAGAGGGCTGTTTCTCCCGCAGACTCTCACGATTTTGGCAGTGCCACGCTGGAAAGTGTGCAAAAAGCAGCCCTGGATATTGAAAACCAGCTTGCAGCGCGGTCTTCCTTGCGCAACATGCGTCGCCTGATGCCGCTCTTTTCCGGGCTCCAACACTATTCCGCCGCGGTCGAAGTTCTTTGTAACGGAACTCCGTACCTTCCGTGGATCTGGGCTCCGATAAAATTGATCCTCAAAGTGAGTCGAGATTGTTTGGTGCCATTATCAACCCTATTCTATAGTACGGGACACTTTCTAACTCGCTGCTGCACTTCGTGCAGGTTACGGCAGACTATGTAGAAGCATTCGAGGAGATCATCAAAGCGTACTCGCGAATTGGCGAGTCGCTGAACAGATTTCGAGTCCTAGGTGCAACCTTCAGTCAGAACGCCAGCTTCCAGCTGACTCTCGCCGTCTTCTATGCCGATATTCTTCGCTTTCACAAACAAGCGTACACCTTCGTGCGACGGAGCTGTAAGTGTTGTCAAACCGCAGCGCCAGGAATCTGCTAAGTTGAGTAGGCTGGAAAGTACTCTTTCTCACCTCTTGGGGCCGCTTCCAAAGGAGGTTCGACAATATCATTGACGATTTAAAAAGACATGAAGAGCAGATCGACAAAGAGGCCAATGCCCATCACATTGCGGAAGCGAGGGACACGAGAGACAAGTTGGAGGCCTGGAGGCAGGACGCCCTTGCGAAGCTCGCCCGTGACGAAGAAGAGCAGACTGCTGGCCATCTCGAAACCATCTCCACGTGGCTGAAGCTAGACGACACTGACCAGGTAGCAATCTTCGATAAATTGTCGACTGAAGGAACGAAATACCCCGAAACATGTGGGTGGGTCTTGAAAAACTCGACGATGGTCTCCTGGCTGAAGCCTCAGCCAGATCCCCCCTTTTTTTGGCTGCAAGGGAACCCAGGAACCGGCAAGAGCACCATCGTCGGAAGGTTGGCCACCTTTTTGCGTGCATCGTCACCAAAGTCTTTAGTTGTTACTCATTTCTGCACTTCTTCATATGCCTCCTCGACCCAGTACGACAAGATTCTCAGGTCGTTGCTTTTCCAACTAGTTCATGCTAACGACGATCTGATTGCGCATATCTATTGGGAATACGTTGTCTGCAAGAAGATGGCAAGTATCACAGCATTAGAGCAGTTGATGGCGACAGTAGTCGCTGCACTCCTAGGCGAGCCAGGCCAGAGTCGGCCGATTCATATCTTCTTAGATGGACTCGATGAAGTTGAGGCTGAAAAGCAACGTCAAGTCATCAGTTTGATGCGCAAAGTGGCCAGTGGAGCAAAAGCACGTGGTGCTGTATTCAAGGTCCTTGTCTCATGTCGAACCTCGCCACTTCTTGAAAAGGTCCTCAGGAAGCAACCGGTGCTTTCTCTGAGTGACGAGAAAGAATGCCTAGAAGAAGCCATCTGGACATACGCCACCCACAGGTTGACGGCCGATGCCCACAGATTGTCGCAACTAGGACTCCGTGGATCTGATTTGACAGAAATGGGGCGAAACATCGCAAGAAAAGCGGATGGTTCGTGTAATGTTATCTCCAGTTATAGAATATGACAATACTGACCCGGATTTTAGGCATGTTTCTATGGGCTCGTTTAGTACTTGACTATCTTGCCACTAATATTTTCCATAGTCGTCACGAGATTACAGCTGCTATTAACACCCTGCCTCGCGAGTTATCCGAGTTGTGAGTATATACACCTCTCCGAGTCGAGTGCTATTTTTCAATTTTGACCGTTCCTAGCTATGAGAGAATATTGACCAACACCATCGCCAACTTCGATTCTCGCTCAGTTAACCGAATGAGGCAGATACTAGGATGGATAGCATTTGCAAAACGACCTCTTCGAAAGAGTGAGTTTCGGTCGGCGCTCTCTTTCAGCGCCGGAAACCCTATAGTGGATGAACTCGTGCCATCGTACATCTTCGACATGTGTGCACCTCTTATCGAACAGCGCCGCGACTCGAGCTTTGCTTTCATTCATGTCTCCGTAAAAGAGCACGTGGGATTTCCGACTCCTCAGAAGCTTTTCGCTGATTACTGCTTTAGTTACCTTCAAACCACACAGAGTAAGATACCCATAACTGAGGAAAATACGATACAGGAGCATGGTATTGCCTCCCTTACGTGTCTTCTGTCGGGGCTGGAAATATTTCAGCCAAACTACCCCAACACGCTCCGTTCCTCAAGAGTACTGAAAGGACTGCATGGCTTCCATATCTATGCTAACGAGTACTGGGTTGACTATGTCCTATCCATCATCACATCACATGATGCCTTCAGTCAATTTCCCGTGCTATCATTGGTTATGAATGACCTGTCTCAGAAGTTAGACAGCCTAGGCGAGTTTTCTAACGCATTGGACAACAAAGAGCATTCAATCCCGTCAGAAAACGGCCTTGGTCTTTTGAAAGGACACAAGGGACTATATGCAAGTGCCAGAGCCGCGTTGGAAGCACGATCTAGGAAAGGATTGCGAGACGAAATTGAGAAAGAGGGTATATCCGCTTGCTTATTTGATTCCTTTACCTGTTCTAACGTGAACCTCAAGGTCCGGCAGCAAATTTAGAGCAAGTCAAAGAATTGCGCGACGTTCTTTTGAACTACCAAGCGACCATCAAGTCGCTCCTCCTTATCCAAGATTTCCCCGGAGTGACGCTAGAGGGACTCGAGCTCTTCAAGAGAGAGTTTCGTACCTCCGCATACACTTGCCGCTTTCCCTTGTGCCCTCGAGCTACGGCTGGGTTCGATAAGAACGAACTTCGAGTGGAGCATGAGGCTACTCATACCCAGCATCTTCAGTGCCTGTACCCTCGCTGCCAATATCCTCCATTCACATCGGTTCGAGCACTCAAGAATCATGAAATCAAATGTCATGAGACGGTCCAGGGCAGAAAAAGGATACGAAGAGTGGCAGCTTGGCCGCAGCATCACCTACAGGGCAGGCGGCAGGTGAAGAGAGGCAGAGAGGGATTATCAGAAGCACATCCCGTTTTCCACAGGGATTCCACTGAAGGAGCCTCATCCCATCAAGGCATCCAAGGAGTTCCTGCTCAGATCCAGCCACCTCACACCCATTCACAAACGAATGATATCATTATGAACGGGATGAATGGGTTGATTGCACAGCCACAGGTATTCCTTCAACAAGGCTCTCAAGCTCAGGCATCATCTCCGATTGTTCGTAAGGGTACACCCCACAGCCACTCTTCGCCTACGGTCAACAATATAGGCAATGTGCCTACCCAAGAGTCGGCTTCAAGTACGGGAGGCAGTCCTCCACTTCTAGACTGGTCTGTACCAAAGCTGCAACATCCAATAAGCGCTCCAATAGCACAAGCAGCGCCTGATCCGCCCAACGACAAAAAAAGAGTCAAAGTCTACGAGTTGCGCGATAATAGCTGGTTCGATAGAGGCACCGGCTTCTGCACAGCAGTGTTTATGTTTGTACGCGTCTCTTCCGCTTGCCCTACGCGTCTTCTAAGCATTGTGCTGATGTCATCTTCCGACTGGGTCTGATGTAAACGGACATGTGGCTGACACCTATCGCAGGAGAATAAATTCAGCTTTAGAAAAGAACCGCGCATACTCGTACAGTCAGAAGATCAGTCAGATCGAATCCTTCTAGATACTGGAATCGTCAAGGAAGAAGGATTCCAGAAGCAGCAAGGTACAAAGATCTCAGCATATTCACAGCAGAGGCTAACCAACACCTTTAGATACCCTCATAGTCTGGACAGACCTAGTTAGTAACGTGGACATGGCCCTTAGCTTCCAAGAATCAGAAGGCTGCGCCGCTATATGGTTAGTCTAGATTCGGCTCGTCTTGTATTAAAAGAACCTACTAACATATATAGGAAATTTGTAAATAATATTCAACAGCAGTTACAGTCGGTCCGATCCAAAAGCGATAAAAAAAAATAAAAACCACTACCATACTAATTAATATAAATCTTATTAATTAAAACTATACTATATACTATAGGAATTAATTCTATATTCTCAAAATTATAATATCTTTATTATTAAGGAAGTTATAATATACGTGATTAAGCGAGTAAATATTTTTGCGTTTTATATAATTATTTTTTTACTTTAGTTATTACGTGACTGCCCCCTTTAATTAACTGCTCTTCTATAATTATATTAATATTTTAATAACTATAAACCCAATTTAGTATTTCTTTTATATACTTCTAATAGCTATCTCTATAAGCCTTTAGAAACGTAAGTAAGCTAATTTGACTCTTAATTTAATTATAGTTCTTACTATAGCTAAAGAAGCTATAATTCAAGTATTTATTAATAAATAGTATAGGAAACCTTCTAATATAAAGGACGATTCTAATAAATCAGATATTAAATAAAATAATAAAGTAGAGCTTAAAGATTCGACTTTCTTTTGGACTTAGTAGAAGCTTATTATTAGTAGTAATAAGACGATTATTTTAGAGAAGCCTATATTTATATAATAAGAATAAAGACTTTTAGAATAGGCTAGTAAGTTTCTTATCTTATTTTCTTATTTTTATATTATAATATAAGTATACTAATATTATTTCCAGCTTTTAGAGGCTTGTATACTCTTAAATTAATAAAGGAATTAATAAAGCTATTAAGAACTCAATAAAAACATATATATAATTAGAGGGCAAAAAATACTCAAATTATAGAATAATCTAATAGACTTAAGACTCCTATAATCGTATTATTTTTTAAATAAAAGAAGCTATAATTCGATATTATTAGGGAATTAATTAATATCCCTAAGAATATATAATTAAGGAAAGAATAAAGGCTTAAAAATAAAGATAATAGAATAAACGAGCTATTTTTAAATGCCCTTATTAGAAATACTTATAGAGATAACAAGGCTTTAGATATATAAATAACTTACTAAAAAGTCCTTAATAATATAAATATTGAGCTAGCCCAAACTAAAGAGCTATATATCCCATATATAATTACTAATTTATATTTATTTTAGTAATATATTTAATAGCTTCTAAAGCTAGAGTAATATTAACTTAAAAGAATTAATATATTACTCTTAATAGCTTTTAGTAATTACTATTTAAATAATGAAAAGATACTAGCTTAGCGAATTAGGAGGCTATTTAATTATTATTAATAGTAGTATAGTATTTCGTAAGAAACTAGGAATAGTAAAAGAAAAAATATCTTTTATCTAGATAATAAATATATTTTTTAGCCTGCCGTATTTAGTTAATTAATTAAGAGCTTAGAATAATATACTAAACGATTTCTTAAATACTATTAATTAGGAGATTTTACCTCGATTATTATTAATAATAGAAAAGCCTATTACCCGTAGTATAGCTTACTTATAGCTCTTTAGGCTCGGCTTTTATTACTATAAGACTAAGAAAGGGCTTTATATAAATGAATATAAATACCCTAATATAATTTAGTATTATTAAGAGGTGTTTTTACTTTTAATAAAGAAGCTTTTATTATATATAGTTTAATATAAAGAGGATAAAGCTAGTATATAGTATATAATTCAATTTTTACTTCTAATTAAAGTTCAGGTATATATAATATACTTCTATAATAAGAGCTATTTCTATGGATTTAATTATAAAAAGAGCCTCTGGCTAGTAAATAATTAGCAAAAAATGCCCGAAAAAAGCAAAGAAAGACTAATTTATAATTCTGAATTTATAGGTCCTAAGGGGCATATTAGGATACTAAATAATAAAGGCATTTTTATCCCGGATAATTCTAATTTAAATACTCGTTAAATTATATATTTAGGCTCAAATAGGGACCCCTGGTAGAATATAAAATAGCTACTAGTACAGATTACTAGAATACTTAATATATTTAAATAAAAGTACCCAAACTATATTACTATTCTAATATTTAATTAGTTTTTTATATATACTTTATATAATAAAGATATACTAAATGCCTTTAATATAAATAAGGAATTAGAAGGAATTAAAAAGAGTAATATTAAGGCCTATAAAAAAGATATATACTTTCTACTAAAGTATATAATTCCGGAGTTACAGGGTACTATTTAAGTCCTTTAGTAACTTAATTCGAATAGAGAAAGAGAGCCTAAGAATATAGAACAGATTCTTATTAAGTAAGGTTATAATATCCCTGGCTTAAGATTTAAGTATCTAAAGAATACTAAGTATATTATATCTCTTAAATACCTTCCTGCTATTAAATAAATGTATTATTTAGCTCGTATACTATTAAATTACTAAGACTTCTTTAAAGAGAAGTCTCAAGTTAAAAAGCTTATTATAGATCAGAGATATAAGGCTATATTTTTATTAAAGTTCTATTACGAAATTAATCTAATTAAAATATACTAGAGATATAGCAAAACTCGATATTATTAAGTAAAGAAGACTAGCTTTCCAGATACTAAGATTAAGGTTATAAAGATACTTGAAGCTTATTTAATTAAGACTATATAGAGGTTTTATAACCGTATATTCTACTAGATAGATATATATTAGAAGGAATTAAGTATTAAATAAGCTGCTTAATATATATAAAAGCAAAAATACTATAGAATAATATCTAAAAAGGTAATAGATAAATGGAATAATATATAAAAGTAAGAGAAAGAAGGTAGCTAAGTAATAAGTAAGGTTTATAGATTTAGTTCGGCCAAAAATTAGCTTGAAACCTATATAATTAGGGCCCTACTATATATATAATATATATAGTACCAGGAAAAGCTATATTTAGTATTTAGAAAGGCTTATTTGAGCTTATAGGGCTTAATTATTATTATTATATTAATAATAAGGCTAGTAAGATACCGTAATCTCTCCCTAAAGCCCGGGCTTATATAACCTTAGTAAGCAAATATATTTGCGTTTTATATAGAGAAAAATCAAAAAAGTAAAAAGAATCTATATACTTTAAGCCTCGATTATTAATAAACTACAAATTATATTAAAAATCTAATTAATAGGTATTTTCGCCTGGTTCTATTCTATAATTGCATTACTTAGTATAAATTAATTAGGGTTATAGTTAAAAAGTTATTATGGGCATAAAAAAGTAACCGTTTTATTGCTTTTGGATCGGACCGACTATAGCAAATATAGGCAATTGGCCAAATTAGTCGCGATTTTACACGTTGTTCCTTTTAACTTTATAATAATATATACTTTAAGAATATTATATTAATAAATTTAAAAGTCTATTTATAATTATTATTTCTGGGCAAAACTAACTTGAAGGTCAGAATTCAGGCCTAGGTCAGACCTATAAACCCTACCGCGACGAGGCTAATGGGCTGTTTCGAGGAGGTGTAAATATAGTCGGCAAGTAATATTTCACCTCTCTGTATAGCCTTGCAAGGGAAAAGGCGTTTACGAAGAGAAATATTACGGCCGCATGAGCGGCCTGTGGTTTGTTTCCATTCAACCTAGATAGAGTCCTCAGGGTGACACCGAAGCCCCCTACTCAATCAACTATTCCGAGAGCAGATAAGGTAGGTTCTTGTTATCAAGGCGAAGTACTGCAAACGCCTGTAACGCTAGTGTCAGTAAATGGTCTTGCGTCGCTGTATAATCTAATTAAACAGGGTGCTTATATACTTAATAAGACAAGTGTATAGCGCCTATAGAGGCATATACAGAAGCTTGTCGATGCCGCCCAGATATCCTTCGCCAAACGTGACCTCCTCTATAATTAAAACCAGATATTGACTAGAATAAACAACGAATCTAATATTCGCAGGCTAACCAGGTCTGTCGTACTCGGGAAGGCGAAGGTAATAAGCTTTGAGGATATCGAGGTGGTACGTATTGAAAATCAGGGGCTGTGCGCTCTGTGGCCCACTTTTAAGTGAAGTCGTAATTTCCAGAGTTTTAAGGAAGCTGAGCTTCTATAGAAAAAACACAACAATCAAGCTTTATTTCAACAGGTTATGAGACCCGGTTTTGCACTTCTATATGCCTTTTACTCGAAATCACACCCTCACCGATTAACAGATCTTTGATCAAGTCACAGTAACCTATAATACTATGCCTTCAGACAAGGATCAGATTAAGCCCCTAAACGAGGAAAACTATAATACTTGGATTATTAATACGAGGGCAAAGCTATAGCAGAAGAAGCTGTGGACAGTCTGCCAGACTCCTCTCTCTGCTAGTACTTCTATAGCCCTAAAAGAGAAGCATACCAATACTGCAGATATTCTCATTCCAACTCTTTCTAAATCTATCAAAATCAAGCTAATAGAGACTGAGCAGAATAATAGTTACCTCCTATAGGAGAAGCTCAAAGCTCTCTTTATCCCTGCAAAAGATTAGTTATTTTATATATCCTCTTACAAGCTATTTTCTCTCAAACTCGATAACGGTAATCTGGAAGAATTTATTATATATATCAAAGTTCTTAATAAGAAGATTAATTCTACGAAAATGGAGTTTACTATCGACCATCATACTCTCCTTGTTCTTATACTCGGTCTACCTATGGCATACGATACCCTAATACAAATTTGGAGTATAATACCG